ACAGCAGCACCTGGCGCGAGGAAGAGAGGCGGGGGGGGAAGCGAGGCAGTGCGGTAGGGGAAGAGGCGGCAGTAGGGGACGGACTCGTCAAAAGTGACGTCCTGGGAGGGCAAGACTCGGCGCGAGGTGGCGTGGTAAAACTGCCAACCAGACGCGTCCGGGACAAAGCCAAGGAAGACGCAGGGAACAGCACGGGAGGAGAGCTTGTCCGCAGACGTATCGCGGACAAAAGCTTGAGACCCCCAGACCCGGAAACGTGACGCATCGCCAACCTCCCCCGTCCACAACAGCGTGGGCGAAGTCTCCGGCAAGGAGACACGGGGCCAGAGGTTGAGCTGGTGCGCAGCGTACCGGACCGCAAACGGCCATAGAAAGTGGGGGGCAGCCGCATGGATCAAGGAGGTACGGGCGACCTCCATGACCAGGCCAATGCGGCGCTCCGCAACCCCATTCTGTTGTGGAGAGGCCGGAAGCGTGAACGACTGCTCAATGCCGTGCTCAGCACAGAAGGCTGCCTAGAGGTCGGAGTAGAACTCACCACCTCTGTCAGAGTGCAAGCGCAGGACAGGAAAGTCCGAGCGGAAACGCTCGCTGAGTTGGAGACGGGCTCTGCGGATCCAAGGGATCAAGACATCAGGGACCTCACCCTTGGTGCGCAAGGGGAAGACCGTGGTGTAGCGCGAGTAGTCGTCAACAACTATCAGGAAGTACCTCTCCTGACCCTGACCACGGACACGGGCTGGGCCCCACACATCCATGTGGAGCGTTTGCAAAGGAGTAGTAGTCGGGGGAAACGAGGAGGAGTGAGGAGCGGCGCGCTGCCGCCCCTCGACACAGGGAAGGCAGGGAGGAGCAGGTGAGGGTGGGAGGGGAGGGAGGACCCTGGGAAGACCAGAGACAAGGTACCGGGAGTGCATGGCACGAAGGCGCTGCACAGACGGGTGGCCAAGTCGGTGGTGCCAGAGGACAGTGTCGTGTGCTAGAGAGCGACACGAGCAGGGGGCAGACAGCTGACCTGACGCGGACGCAAACGCAGACGCAGCGACCTGAGGGGAGGCAGTAGTCAGTATGTACAGGTCCGACCCCGGCTGCCGGGTGAAGGTAGCCAAGTGACGGCCCGTACGAGCACACGTGCAGTGGGTCACACGCTCGTAGGCAGGGGTGAACTGGTGAACACCCCCGTCCTGGAGAGCACATCCTGCCACCAAGTTCGTAGAGAACGAGGGGAGGTGGAGACCTGACAGTGTGCCCGACGGGACCGCAGGGCAGGGAAGGACAGTGGAAGAGGTCGCAATGACCGGACCCCCAGAGGGGTCAGCAAGTGAGACCGCAACTGGCCGAGCAAGCGGCTCAAGGGCAGTGCGGTCACGAAAGAAGCAGCGAGAAGCACCTAAGTCCAGTGTGAAGGTGTGCAGTGCGGCAGTCGACACAGTACCAAGGGGGGGGGGCATACGAGCACCTAGAGCAGCAGCCTTACCAGCACCTGGGGTAGCCGACACGCGAGTACCTGGAGCTGCAGACGCACTGGCCCTAATGCCCGGGTCGGGCGGCACACACAAGTACTCGGCACCCTCTCCACTAGTAGACATCACATACATGGCAGATAGAATAGCATCAAAGTCTAGAGCATAGATATCAATCCCCTTCTTCAGGAGATCAACCCAGCGGGGCAGCTCAGTGGCCTGAGGGAACTGAACACGCCAAGCGTCGTCGAGACGAGAGAAATAGCGCTGTGTGGCGTGCGGTCGTCCATACTGCTGACCAGTCCAGTCACCAGTGCGAATGACGTACGTGCAGCCAAGACCACCCCTACCCCCGTGCTGAGAGTACCACTCACGGACCTCCTGTGGCGAGGGAGTGTGCTGCTGGCGCTGGCCACCGCCAGTGCCTCCACGGCCACCACCACCGCTGCCACCCCCTCGACCACCCCAACCCCTGCCGCCGCCTCGTCCACCGCCACCCCAACCGCCGCCTCCACTCCTACCACCTCCCTCGCCGCCGCCGCCACCACCCCCACCGCCTCCACCGCTCCCACCGCCGCCTCCCCCGCCGTCACTGCTACCACCCTTGCCCCCTTTGTCCTTGCCGCTGCGGCGCCCGCTCGAGGCAGACGCAGCGCCGACCTTCTCAACACCGAGAAGGTCGACAGCAGCAGCAGAGGCGACAGAGGGAAGAAGGGGGGAAGGAGAACACCCCTCAAAGAACGGGGTACGGGGGTCGCCACGAGAGGCACCTACAACGACTATGCTAGTCTCAGCTGCAAGGAGCTCCTTCTCGAGGAGGGCAATGGTGAGCTTAGTGGGGCAACGAGCTAGGAAGTGGTCCCTGACAGCACGCAGTGTGTCAGGGAGGCGGGTGACTAGGTGGTAGAGAGTGAGCCAGAGTGGAGGGGGGTGCGTGGTAAGGAACTCAGCAGGCATGGCGGCACGGAAGCGGGCCTCACTAGTGCGGAGGTGCGTGATGAGGTCAGCGACTGTGTGAAAAGAGGCTAGGTCGGGAAACAGGTAGGGGAGGGAGAGACGACCTAGTGCGGCAGAGGCAGGTGAGGAGTAGCGAGCAACTACAGCTGTGTACAGTGCCTGTGCAGTCTTGTGCTGTCCAAAGTGCTCGCGTTCGTCTATCGGCAGGGAGTTGCGAATGGCGAAGCGAGCGTGGGCATCACGAGTCTGCCACTGTGAGCGAGCAGAGCTGTCAGCAGTAGCAGCAGGGGCAGTGACATGGCCTAGGGCGTGATCGTACAGTGAGATGTCATCCTTGGCTGTGAGCTGTAGGTAGAGGTGCAGGTCATCGAGCCAGGTGTCAAACTTCACAGGGCGGCCCTCAGCATCGAACACGAGAACCTGTGGGCTAGCCATAGGAACAGTAGAATAGCAGCAGTAGCAGTAACAGTAGCAGTAGCAGTAATAGTAGCAGTAGCAGAAGCAGGTAGGACAAACCAGGTAGGGCAGGGCGGCGCGGCTCGGTTCAAGTCGGGTCGCGGCTCGGCTGGGTGGCGCGGCTCGGTGCAGGACGCGCGGCTCGGCGCGGGTCGCGCGGTTCGGGTCACGGCGGGGACGGGCCGCCCGGTCTCCCTCGTGTGCTGTGGCGGGAACGTGCAGCCCGGGGCCTCTAGGTGGTGGGCACGGGGCCGATCGGTGCCTGAGCGGGACTAGCGCGGTGCCGACCGGGGCCTTGAACGGAACTAGCGCGGGGCCGACGGGGTCTGAGACAGAGCCGACGGGGCCTGAAGCGGGGCTAGCGCGGGCCCGATCGGGGCCTGAATGGGGCTAGCGCGGGGCCGACGGGGCCTGAATGAGGGCTAGCGCGGGCCGACGGGGCCTTAATGGTGGCTGGCGCGGGCCGACAGGGCCTGAGAGGGTCTAGCGCGGGGCCGACGAGGCCTGAAACGGGGCTAGTGCGGGCCGACAGGGTCGGAGAGGGGCTAGCGCGGGGCCGACGGGGCCTGAAGCGGTACTAGCGCGGGTCGACGGGGCCTGAGAGGGGCTAGCGCGGACCGACGGGGCCTAAACGGGGCTAGGGCGGGGCCTGAACGGGGCCTTAATGGGGCCGACGGGGCCTGAACGGGGCCGCTAGGGAGAGCGGGCGTGGGGCCAACGGGGCCTGAACGAGGCTAGCGCGGGGCCGTCGAGAGGGGCCTCTAGGGGCGTGATATGCCGAGGCGCCCTAGGGCACAGGTAGGTAGGTAGGTAGGTAGGTAGTTACGTAGTGGTGGGCCCTTAGAAAATTTCGGTCCTAGGGAGGACCTGCTCTATACCATGTTGAAATCACTGAAGAGGAATGAATGAACTAGCAGTGAAATGAGTACAAGTACCTAACCCTAGAATTGTGTACCCCCTATAGGCTAACCCACTGTAGCCTAAACTAACACAACATATATATAATGTTTGACAGGCCCGTCGCGCGACAATCACACTCCATTACCGTTACCACTGTAGTTTCGCTATATATTCTTCGCTCATGCCTTCGCTCATTGTATTCTTGCTTCGATAGTGCAATTCTCGTTCATTCACTCAATTGCACTCGTAACAATTACTAATCTGTAGCTGGACCATGACGCCGGCATATGTGAAACTCAAACGCACGAGGCGAGATCAATATCCGTTAGTGTTAAATGGCAGATACTTCGTGAACACGAACCTGAATATTCCATTTATGAGGCTGGATTTCTTCGTCAGTGAAGAGCTTATGGCGAATGAGAGCACCAATGTGATATTAGTAGCTGGTAGCCTTTAAACACTACTACTGTACTGTAATCGTGTCAAGTTCGTCAAACCGACTAGTGGTGGTGTTTTCGGGAGTCAAGTTCGAGATTCGCGCGACAACGTGATGTTTTCGGGAAATGCTGCTGCTGAGCAGGCAGTGCTGCCCCCGCACGTGTCAGGTTTCAAAATTCAAACCAAGCGGGATTCTGAAATTCGCAGGCCGTGCTAAGGCTGGCCCAGAGTCATGTATGTCGTCTTTAGACACCAGATAGTAATTCAAGGTCGGATCGAATTGGATTAGTCTCACGGGAAACATTCGACAAGAGGTGTTTTGTGTGTGCTTCTCTGCAAAGAGTCCCACTGGCAAAATAAACTGGAATGGGCCCTTAGAGTTCTAGTGCTTCGCTACAAGCATGACTCTACAAATACATAGCACGTTGCCCCACTAAGCTTGACATCACACCAAACAAATAGGTCAAGGGCTCAGGGTTCAGGGCTTTGTGCATCAGCCGAGGTTTCCGTAAAGCTTATAAAGCAGTGGGGAAGGCTGTGGTTGGTCAACAACCCTCGTTTTCCGCCGAGAGGTTTCTAGACTGATTGGGAGAAGAGGAGTATTCGTCGGAGAGAAGTCTTTTGCGTAGAGATCCATTGGCTTGGGCGCACGAGCGGCGCCCTTGAGTTGACTCGCAGGCATCGCAAAGGCATCGCACAGACATCGCACAGGATCGCACAGGCTTTGCACAGCGATCGTTGGAAAGGGAAGACGCTGCACGTTACGGCGCACGAGCATCTGCCGCGATGGCGCGAGGGCGAGCAGCGGGTGCGCGGGGAGGGGCAGCGGCGCGCGGGGCAGGGAGGGGCGGCGCAGGAAGAGGAGCGGTAGAGATCGGAGAAGGAGGCGTGGGGACGGGGGGGGTAGCGATGGGCATGGAAGCGGCGGGGCGGATGGCGGGGGGGTGGGTAGCGGCGGGAGAGGTGGTATCGCCGTCGGAGGTGCCATCTGGGGGAGGCGTCATCTCCCCCTGGTGCATGCACGTGCACACCGTGCTCGGCACGCGCCTTCTCGTGCCCGTCGCTCCCAGCGCCTCCATCAGCGACCTCCTCCGTGCGTTCCCCTTCGCGCTCCCCTTCCCCCCGTCCCGCACGCCCAGCTCTTCTCCCCCGTCCCCCACTGCTGCCTTCCCCCCCCCCTTCACTGCTGCCTTCCCCCCCTTCACTGCTGCCTTCCCCCCCCTTCACTGCTGCCTTCCCCCGTCCCCTATGGAGTGTTCGACTGAGAGACGAGGGAAGGGGAAGATGGCGAGTGCTCAGTGAAGCGCACATCTACCCACTCGCTCGCTGCACTCCCCATCCCACTCCCTGCGGCTTCCCTGCCTCCCACTTGCTGTCTCCCTCTGCCTCTTGGAAAGGAAACGATGAAACACAGTAGTGTAACCCCTCGCTAGAATTAAACCCTGCGCATAAACTCGCGCGGCTTGAACCCTACATCACGTGCAAGCTTACTGACACCCGCGCCACGTGTTGATGCGGTGCAAAAGCGTTGATCGCCTGCCCTGGCGGGCCCACGTGCTTCCAACCAACACTGGACTCACGTCACCTTCTGCCCCCTTTCCTCACTGCACGCATTCTCTCCCCTTCCACGCCTCCAAACCAAACCCTTGAATTATGTCCTTTCTTCCACTTTCGCTTCTTTGTTCCTTTTTCCTTCTTCCCCACCCTCCCCATATTACCTCCTCATCCTCCTCCTCCTCCTCCTCCTCCTCCTCCTCCTCCTCCTCCTCCTCCTCCTCCTCCTCCTCCTCCTCCTCCTCCTCCTCCTCCTCCTCCACCACCACCACCACCACCACCACCACCACCACCACCACCACCACCACCACCACCACCACCACCACCACCACCACCACCACCACCACCACCACCACCACCACCACCACCACCACCACCACCACCACTTTCCCCTTCCCTGTCTTCAATCCCTCATGTCTCCTGCACTTCCACCCCACCTGGCTGGATGGCAGGCATGGTGGGGCAGCAGCACGAGCACATACACGCGCACATGGGGAGCATTCGTTTCGAGTCCGTCAAGGTGTGTGCTTTGCTTCCCCTCCTTGAGGTGCCACACTGCCACCCCTCCCAAGGGCACGTGCCACCCCTCCCAAGGGCACGTGCCACCCCTCCCAAGGGCACGTGCCACCCCTCCCTGGCGCATGCAAATTGTTTCAATCCCTCCTTAGAAGTCCACCAGCGAGTGTGCAGCACTCAAATCATCGGCCTCGCAATCCCAAAACATTCTGCACTCGAACCCTGGACCGAGGGTTCAGGGTTTAAGGTTTTGCACCTTCCTGCACTCGAACCCTGGCCCGGACCTTGGCTCCAGCCTACCTCACAGAAATACTTACCTTACGGGATGCACCATAATACAAATTGAATTATACAGTCTCCTCGCGGCACCCATTCGACAGCCACGATTTACACTTTCTCTCGCTCCTTGCTTTCTCTCCACCTCAGTCCCCTCTTATACTTCTTATCCCCCATTTATCCCTCTTTTATCCCTCTTAATTCCCTCTTCTCCCCCACGTGTCCAACTCTTTTCCCCCATTGCTTCCATGCTCGCCCATCAGGTGCTGCGCCAGGCCACTCTGTTTGGCGTTGCCCCACATCTCAAACTGGCTGACGTGTTGAAGCCTGATGACGTCATCCTCGCTTTTACTGGGGATGCTGACGTTGCTGCTGATGTCAGCGGTGAGCTCCCTTGGGTTCTGATAGGTTGGAGGTGCCGCAGCCATCTGTGCATGGTTTCACTTGTTGGTTTCTTTGACTGTTAGTTTTCCTGTGTCGTTTCTTCGTTCTAAGTACCTTTCCAGGCTGGGGTGATGAGTTTGTCTGATTACCAAGCTTCACATGGTAAACAACACCCTCTTTGTTGCATGACCCTCTTTTTGAAGATGCGTTTCAATTGTTCCCAATTCCGTCGCACACGTGCGAATGAACGGAATGCCTTTGTTCTTCAAGCCTCGCACCTCCATTTCGTCATTTTCTCTCGTTCCCCCTCTCACTCTCTGCGCCTCCTCCACCTCCTTTCGCCCTCTCCCTTTCATACTCTTTCTTGCCTACCCAACAGACTATCTGACACACCACCTTGCCTTCGGCTCCTCTCTTCCGAGTCACGACGACTCCCCCTTTAGCCCCCGCCACCACCACTCACCATCTCCTCACCACCAACTGCCACGTGGCAATCTCTTCAGCAACCACGTGGCATTTCAGCGTGGGCTGCTGGCTGCCCTCGCTGCTGCTGACGTGGCAGGGAGGGGGGTGGAGGCGGTCAGCGAATCAGGAGAGAGGAGGAGAGTGAAGGGGGTGGTGTTGGGGGGAGGGGGAAAGAGGATGCGGTTGGAGGGGGGGAGTGGGGAGGGGAGGGGAGGAGGCAGTGTGCCCCTGCTGACAGATGGGGGGGCGGGAGAGGGGGGAATCAAGGGAGCAGGAGGCGGGAGAGGGGGAGGGGAGGCGCAGGTGGGAGGACAGGTGGGCCATGAAGGGCGTGGCAGGGAGGGGGAAGGGGCGGGGAATGGGGGGCAGGAAGGGGGGCGTGAGAGGAAGCGGAGGAGGGAGAGCGAGGAAGAGCAGAGCATGGGTGATGGCACTGGAGAGGGGGAAGGTCGGGGGAAGGCAGATGGGAAGAGTGTAGATGCTGAGAACGCTGATGGGAAGGGGCTGGGCGAGGGGAGTGCGGATGTGGGACGGGGAGGGAAAAGACAAAGACGAGCGGAGGGGAGTGAGAAGGATGGGGTGGTGGAGGGGAGAGAGAGGGATGGGGGGTCGGTGGATGGGGTTGAGTTGGAGGGGAGAGGGGGCGGGAAGGGGGATGAGATAGATGCGACTGTGGGGAAGAAAGAGAGGGGTGGAGGGTTGACGGAGAGAGAAGGGGTGTGGGAGAAGAGAAGTGCTGAGGAGAAATATGAGGGGAAAGGGAAAGACGAGGTGACAGGGAATGATGTGATAGAGCTGATAGATGAAGCAAAGGAGAAGGATGAGGTGAAGGGAAAGGAAGCGAAGGAAGGGAATGCATGTGGGAAGGGGCAAGCAGCGGAGATTGAGGATGAAGCGGTGGAGGAGAGAGCAATGAATGGGGTGAAGGAGGGCCGTGCCCCTCAGGGTGTTGCGACGTCTCTAAAGGCATCACAGGGTGTTGCGACGTCTCTAAAGGCATCACAGGGTGTTGCGACGTCTCAAAAGGCACCTCAGGGTGTTGCGACGTCTCAAAAGGCACCTCAGGGAGTTGCGACGTCTCAAAAGGCATCACAGGGTGTTGAGACGTCTCAAAAGGCATCACAGGGTGTTGGCGATAGTGCACGGGGGGCTGGGGTGAAGGGTGGACGGGGTAAGAATGAGGAAGTGGTGAGTGTGGTGAGGGATGAGAGTGAGGAGAGTGAGACTGATGGTGAGGAGGAGGGAAAGGAGGAAAAGGAGGAGGGGAAAGGGGGAGGGAAGGATATGGAGATTGAGAAAGAGGAATCAGAAGATGGGGAAGATGAGGAGGACGAGGAGACAGAGGAGGAAGAGGAGGAGAACGTAAGAGTTTCAGAGGCAGAGGCGAAGGAGGCAGGAAAGAAGGAAGATGGGGGTGATGATTCGGAGTCCGAAGGAGAATCAGACGACGAGTCAGAGGAGGAGGCGGGAAAGAAAGGAAAGGTGAAAGAAAAGGAAGTGAAAGGGAAGGATAAGGGGAAGACAGACAAAGAGGAGGAGGAGGAGGGGAAATTGAAAACGTCAGAGGCAGAGGCGAAGGAGGAGGGGAAGATGGAAGATGGTGGTGATGATTCGGAGACGGAAGGAGAATCGGACGACGAGACAGAGGAGGAGGTACGAAAGGAAGGAAAGGCGAAAGAGAAGGAAGCGAAAGGGAAGGAAGCGAAAGGGAAGGAAGCGAAAGGGAAGGAAGCGAAAGGGAAGGAAGCGAAAGGGAAGGAAGCGAAAGGGAAGGAAGCGAAAGGGAAGGACAAGGGGAAGACGGACAAAGAGGAGGAAGAAGAGGAAGAGGAGGATGAGGAGGGGAAAGTGAAAAAATTGGAGGCAGAAGCGAAGGAGGAGGGGAAGAAGGAAGATGGTGGTGATGATTCGGAGACAGAAGAGGAATCAGAGGAAGAGACAGAGGAGGAGGCAGAGGAGGAGGCAGGAAAGAAAGGAAAGGTGAAAGAAAAGGAAGAGGTAGGGAAAGGTAGGGGAAAGACAGACGAAGAGGAGGAAGAGGAGGGGGACGAGAAGGGAGGGGAAGAGGAGGAAGAAGAGGAAGGAGAGGAGGAGGATGAGGAGAGGAAAGTGAAAGCTACAGGGGCAAAGTCGAAGGAGGAGGAGAAGATGGAAACTGGCAGTGATGATTCCGAGACAGATGAGTCAGAGGAAGAGGAGGAGGATGAGGATGGGAAAGTGAAAGTTCCAGAGGCAGAGGGGAAGGAGGATGGGAAGATGGAAAATGATGGTGATGATTCTGAAACAGAAGGAGAGTCAGAGGAAGAAACAGATGAGGAGGTAGAAGAGGAGGCAGGAAAGAAAGGAAAGGTGAAAGAAAAGGAAGTGGTAGGGAAGGATAGAGGAAAGACAGACAAAGAGGAGGAGGACGAGGAGGAGGAAGAGGAAGAGGAGGAAGAGGAGGAAGAGGAGTCAGATGATGAGGTGGCGGTGTTGGAGAGCGGTGCAGAGGGAATCAAGGAGCGAACTGACAAGGCTCAGATGAGAGCGTCTTCTGCTGCTGCTGCTGCAAGCAAAGCATTGGCAACGAAAGGAGCCGCAAGCAAGGCGGACGGGAAAGGAGCAGACAGCAAAGCAGCAGCGGCGGGCAAAGCAGTAGAAGACAAGGAACTAGCAGTGAAGGCTGTGGGAGGCAAACAAGACGGAGCAAGCAAAGGAGCTGTCAGATCTGCTGCAGCAGGATCAGGAGGAAAAGCTGTTGATGCAAAGAGAGTGGGTGTTGCAATGATCAGTGGGGAAGAGGATGAGAAGAGTGAGGAGGAGAGTGAAGAGGAGAGTGAGGGGAGCGAGACAGAGATTGAGGGAGAAGTGGATGAGGAGAAAGAGGGGAGCGAGACAGAGAGTGAGGGAGAAGCGGATGAGGAGAAAGAGGAGGAGAGTGAGGAAGAAAGTGAGGATGAGAGTGAGGAGGAGAGTGAGGAGGAGGAAGAGGAGAGGAAACTGGATGACAAGAGCAAGAAGCAGGCCAGCACAAGTAAGGGAGCGGACACGGGCAAAGGAACAGTGTCAGGGTATGGCAAGGGAAAAGGGGCTGCAGGGATGGGGAAGGCAGAGGGTTCAAGGAAGGCGGAGAGTGTGAGTGGAGGGAAGGAGGCAAGCAGAGGGAAGAAAGGCCGCGAGGGGGCAGCAGCAGCAGCACAGACGGATGTGGCTGGCATGGGGGGGAGGAAGACGGGAGGGAAGCGAGGCAAGAAGGCTGAGGCAGGAGCACAAGGTGCAGCCGCTGCTGCTACTTCTGCTGCCCCTGCTGCTGCTGCTGCTGCTGCCCCTGCTGCTGCTGCTGCTGCTGCTGCCCCTGCTGCTGCTGCTGCTGCTGCTACCCCTGCTGCTCCAGCTGTTGCAGCAGCCAAGGCTGCGAGCTCCGGGGAGGCTGCTCCTCTGGAAGCTGGAAGAGGAGGGGGGAGGGGGACGGGTAGGGGTAGGGGTAGGGGTAGGGGGAGGGGGAGGGGCAGGGGTGCTGTGAATCCTTCTGCCGATGTGCCTGCTGCTGCTGCTGCGGCTGCAACTGCTGCTACTGCTGGAGCCGCTTCTAGCGCAGATGTTCTTAATTCTGCTTCTGCCGATGCGGCTCCCCCAGCAGCAAAGAAGCGCGGTAGGCCTCGTGCTGCTGCTGCCCCTGGGTCTGCTGCAACTGCTGCTGCTGCTGCGGCCGCTGCAACTGTTGCACCTGTTAGTGGTGCACCTGCTGCTACAGCAGCAGGAGGAAAGGCATCAACGAGAGGGAAGGCAGTGGGACGAGGAAAGGCAGCAGCAGAGGCAGGTAAGGCAGAAGCAGGGGCAGCAGCAGCAGCAGGTGGTAACGCGGTTGCTGCTCCAGACACCGATACAGCATCCGTGTCATCACACGTACCCGCAGCTGCTGCTGTGGATGGAGTGGGAGGAAACGCATCGGCAGAGGGGAGGGCAGGAGCAGGAGGGAAGGCAGCAGGTGGAAGGGGAAAGACGGCAGGCAAGGGGAAGGCAGCAGCTGCCGCTGCTGCTGGCAAGGCAAAAGGAGGAGCAGCAGCAGTAAAGGCGGGTGCGTCACGTGCAGCAGAGGCAGCAAGGGCAGGATGGGCAGAAGGGCCAATAGATACAGCGAACCCGACGGGTCCAAGAGTGCCTCTTCGAATGAGCGCACCACCAAGCGGCACCTTTCGTTACCCCCAAGCCACTTCCCCTATTGCCTCCACTGCCCCTCTTGCCTCTGCTGCCCCCTTGCCTCCACCTTCCCCCACGGCTGAGCCGCCCAGGTAACTTCCCCGTGCATCCAGGTGAGCCCTTTGTGTGTCCATCAACTTCCTTGTGCAGCCAGGTAACTTCCACGTGCGCCCAGGTAACTTGCTCATGTGTCCACATAACTTCCTTGTGCGGCCAGGTAACTTCCTTGTGCGCCCAGGTAACTTCCTTGTGTGCCCAGGTAACTTACTCGTGCATCCAGGTAACTTTCTTGTGTGCCCAGGAAACTTCTCGTGCATCCAGGTAGGTTTCTCATATGCCCAGGTAACTTCCCCATGCGTCCAGGTAACTTCCTTGTGCGCCCAGGAACTTGTTTGTGGGCCCAGGAAACTTACTCGTCCGTCGAGGTAACTAAACCTCCTAATGCACCCAGGTAACTTGCTAATATCATCACAGGATGTAGCCACGTGCTATTTAGCCATGTAACCATGTGCAATGTTTTGTCACATTTTCATTGCATACCTGTCTTTTGTTGTTGCATTCCCGTTCCCCACTACCTTGTTTTCTCAGTGTATCTACTTGTTATGATGTAGTCGCATTTGCCATTCTATACCGTGTCACTTTTTCCCACGTGTTGTTTGAGCTCGCCTCACTGACTGCTTGGCTTGCCCCCCCCCTTTTGGTTTCTCAACAGCCCTATGCCGGTCCTTGACCTGGGAGACATTCTTAAGATGATAAAGTAAACTGCATCAAGGCGCAATCTTGCTTCATAAGCGCCTGTTCAGAGGAGCACCCACGCACGCACCCAAGTAAATGGTGAACTCTGAGCATGTTCTTTTCTTTAGACATTGTTTGTAAACTTCGGGTCCAGACTGTAATGACGTGATGCAGTTATGGAGAGTGTGAAGTGTACTTCAATGCACTTTGCAGATTCCAGTCGAAACACAAAAAGTCATGGATGTTGTTGGGAATAATAAGTCTTAAAGCGCCTCTGTCGTGTCGAAACTCAGGACACTAACGAAGCAGTCCGAATCGAAGCATCGCGAGTCAACCCTCGGAGGTTGAAGTAACCGCCTGTAGGTTACACGAAGGTCAAAGGTCAGTGACCTTTGACTTGACAAATGCAGCGCGACAGCAAGGACACACAACTGACTCGATATTGAGCAGTTGCCCGAGTCACACTGTATCGAACCGCAACAGCCAACAGTGAAAACAGTTATCATTCGTATCCTTTCGTATTCCTTGTACTCTTATATAAAACTCTGTATTTGCATGCTTTAATCAACTTACTTTGCCCTCACATACCAGCGCAAGGTGGTTCAAGCACTCTTTATTCAACGCTTCCGCTATTACAATTTTAGTCAGACTTAAACTCTACAAAGATCCTAGGGCACCTCAGCCCAACATGGTATGAGAGCAGTTAGAGTTTAAAAGTTAATTTTTTCTCTCAACACTCAATACAAAGAAAGAAGACATGTCTACTAGGAAGGAGAGGAGCTCCTCCAACGGCTCTCCAGGCACTACTCCTACTCCACCTCCTCTCTCTGGCCTACAGACAGAAGAAGGAACTACCACGAGACCAACAGCTGGGTCTACGGAAACGCCCACAGGCTTCGATCCAAGCATGATGGAGAAGTTCTTCTCCTTCATGTCCTTCTACGAGCAGCACCAGCAAGGAGCACCTGCGTAGTCAAACAACAGCAACAACAACAACGTGACTCCTATGAGTCTCGACGGCTCATCCTACGCACGCGGAATTCAACAACAACAACAGCAGCCTATCTTTGCGCCGTACGAGCCCTAGCGTGGCTCCGTCAGCTTCATGCCGCAACCGCAATCTGCACCGGGACAAGAAAAGGCATTGGACGCATTACAAGTTCAGTCACAATTCGCGCACATCCTAAAACTGCAAACGACAAAGCCGTTCGACGGCAAAGACTTCTTTACCTGGTCATTCGAGTTCGAGTTGATGATGGAAGGAGCACAAATTCTCGGCTTCTTCGACGGGTCCCTGCCGTATCCAACAAACGGGACACAATATGAGAAGCAGCAGTATACCTATCAATCAATGATGGCGTACACGATACTGCTAAGAAACATCACCCCGACCCAACAGCAGAACATCAGGACTTACCGAGGCTACGGCAACTCTGCGGAGCTCGCGTACAACCACCTGAAGAACCTGTATCAAGCAACGGACAGTGTGAATCAAAGCAGGTTAATGGCGCAACTGACAACGATTGAAATGAAACCAGGCGAGAAAGGCATGGCCTATATCAGCCGCTGCCGCGAACTGCGCGATAAGCTCCTTCGATGCGGAGGGTCGATTTCAGAAGACGCCTTTGTCACGGTGGTCATCGGCGGTCTCGGCCCCCACTGGCGCTCCACTCGCGCAATATTACGAGCACACGGGAGGATCTCCGAAGCAGCACTCTGCGCCGAAATCCACGCCGAGCTGCAGGACATGGACCTGCAAGAAGAAAGACACAAGAAGAAAGCATTAGCACCGGAGTTTGCGTTTCACACTCAACGACGATACAACAACAACAACAATAGACAACAGCAACAAGTGAAGATGGTACCTCCGTTCTGCCACATCTGCAAGACTTCGGGACATCCTCGCACGCACTGCCCGTCTCGACAGCAGTCGACGACACCACAGCGTCAACTCCGGCCTTCAAGCTCTCAAGTTGTTTCAACGCAAGCAAATCCGACGACCACAATCCAAGCTTCAACAACTTCAACTGGACAACCTGCACAAGGAACAAGAAGCATCGTCAATTGCATGGTGAAGATAACCGATTCGTGCACAACCGAGTCACCACCCCACCACTCACCAGAAGAAGAGCTCGACAACAGGACGCCTCGCCGCGAATCACTCCAGCCGAATCCGACGTACGCCGCCATCGCTCAAAGCGAACCGTCCGGCCAAGATACTTGGTTCTTGGACAGCTGCTGCGGACAACATATGTGCTCCTCCGGGCACTTCGTTCAACGCGAACATCGACTCCAGCGAGAAGTAGTCATTACGGTCGCCAACAATCAGAACTTGCGCACACGACGACAAGGAGTGGTACAGCTTCAGTCACGAGAGACAAACGTCATACTGCACATGTCAAAAGTACTTATCGCAGAAGGACTCGGGTACAACTTACTGAGCGTTAGCCAGTTGATGGCGAAAGGCATCCACTTGGAAGCCGACAGCACCACCCAGGAGTTTAAGTTATACCACGGGAAGGGTGGCCTTTATATCGGAAAGGCGGTATTAAAGAACAACGTCTTTGTTCTTGATTTCGTCCCTGACCTGGGCACTGCAGACAGCGACGCCATTGTCAACTTCACCGATTGGACTCATCCCCCGGATCTCGATCCCGACTTCAGCCCGGGAGGCTTCTGGTACTCGCACACCATCCCTGAGGCAGAACGAACACGAGCATTAGCAACGATTCAACAAACGGCAGCAGCAGAGACAACATCGGCAGCAGCAGAGACAACAACGGCAGCAGCAGAAACATCATCGGCAGCAGCAGGACCAACGACACCAGTCATCGTCGACGAAGCACCACCAACACCCGAGCAGCAGCTGAACCCGACTCAACGAGAAGTCCACAGAAGCGCCAATTTCGTCGCCAGCTTCTACTCCAACTCCGACGCGTATCAACGCTCACCCGGACACCGCGCTCCTGAAGACATCTGGCACGCACGCACAGGACATCCGAGCAACACAGTGTTAAATAACACAATACGAGCAGGAGTCCTAGATAAAGACTCGCTACTACTACTCGACGGCAGAGAACTTCAACGGGCACGAGGGACTTGCCACATCTGCCCCGAAGCCGACTTACCACATCGACCATTTTCTTCTCACCACAACCCGAGCGCACCTGCATACGCACCACTCGAGAAAGTATACAGCGACATTCTCTTCAACCGAGAACCAGGACAAGTCACCTACAATTACACGATAACCTTCATCGACGCCGCCACTCGATACGTCTGGCATCGAAACCTACCCAGCCGCGACATGGCTCTCGCAGCGTTCGCCGCTTGGCTACCGGTAGCAGAGAGGGAATCAGGAACACAACTGAAAAGCTTCCAGTCAGACGGAGGAGGAGAATACACCTCCCAGCGCTTCAAGCAGTACCTGGCGGAAAGGGGAATCAAGCAACTCCTCTCCCTTCCCTACGCCCATTAGCAGCAAGGTGTAGCAGAAAGAATGAACAAGACTCTGCAGAACAGCATGCGCAAACTGCTACGTGGCATGCGGCTACCCAACCACCAGTGGCCTGCAGCAATGGACCATGCTGTCATGCTGCACAACTTGTTGTCGTCGTCGTCACTCCCGAACAACGCATCACCGCATCTGCTGTGGACAGGGAAGCTGGGCAGCACAAGAATGTTACGAGTTTTCAGATGCATGGTACAGTACCGACCCCCAGAAGCACGAGCGGGAAGATTTTCACAACGGGCACAATGGGGATTACACCTCGGCATCGAGAAAAATTACAACGCGTGGAAAATCTTCGACGTCCACACAAAAGAAAGAGTAGCAGCACGTGATGTGATTTTCTACGAGCGACTCACCCTTCAGACGTACCTCGCCAACTTGCACGAGAATCGGGACCTCACAGGTGGTGACCGAGCCTTCGCCTCAGCAGCGGACGAAGCAGACTGGGATGAACAGAACGTCGACAACGCATCGGAAGAAGCCGGACCTCTCCCGTACTGCTCCGTCGACGTGCCCATGGACGAAGAAAATCCTCGCGACAGTAACAACGCCGAAGTCTTCTATCACTTTGCCGGCAATGGTTACGTAACACCTGCGACAGTCAACACAAATGAAGCAGAAAGGATAGGGCCAAATTTCATACCCGATCCAGAAGTAGGAGACGAAGCAGCTTATCCCGAGGACACAACACTCCCTCGATACTCACAGACTGTGCTGCAAATCCTTGGACTCGTCACCGCAGTCCACGGGAACACAGGCAGCGCGCTTCCTAAGGAGCCTGCGACGGTTCAGCAGGCTCTGGGGGGGGAACACAGGGAAAAATGGCGTGAAGCCATGGACAGAGAATTGAAGGCATTGGAGGAACGCAACACCTGGAAGGTCGTTCCCGCAAGCGTGGCAAGGAACAAGACTATCCTCACCGGGAAATGGGTCTTCCGCATTAAAACGAAAGTCGACGGCACAATCGAAAAGTTCAAAGCACGTTGGGTCGTGCGCGGATTCGACCAGGAGCAAGGACGAGACTTCACCGAGACATTCGCCCCAGTTAGTCGACATACCTCTCTCCGAATTCTTCTCGCCGTCGCCGCCATGAAGAAGAAGAAGCTGCGACAAATTGACGTCGCCAATGCATTCCTCTACGCCCCCGTCGACGCCGAAATCTTCGTCGAACTCCCCCACGGTACCCACGGAAACCCCAATCAGGTCTGCCTGCTACTGAAATCGCTCTACGGAATCAAACAAGCTCCGCGGTTGTGGCAACAGCACCTACACACCCGTCTCACCCGCATCGGATTCCGCCAACTACCTCATGACCAAGGGATGTACAGACTCACTAAAGGCACCGACTACATCCTGCTGATCGTTTATGTCGACGACTTGCTCTACATCGGCTCCACCGACGACGTCACCACCTGGTTCGAAGGGGAGCTGCAGAAAGACCTCACGCTCACGGTCTCTTCTACCGTGACCCAGTACCTCGGGCTCAACATCCGCGAAGAAGAAAATGCGATCTAT